CTACGTTTGAACATTGGAGGGCAAGCTTTGCCACCTCTAGGTCTTGGAAGAAAGTGAAAAAATCAGTATAGACTTTCCGGAGGTGAAGAATTAATATTCATAATAATTTTCGCTAACGTTTCCATGTTATTTATAATTCATTCAAGTTTTCTTTGTACTTTTCAACAAATTTTCAGTTGCATAGTGAAACTCATGTTATTACAACCCTCATAGAGAATTACGGCGGACTGAATAACTGGTAGCTCTTATGAAATGCATATTGTTTGTAGATCAACTGCAACTCTACAGGTATGTAGTTATTGCCCTATATGCAGCGTGTTTCAAATTCGACTCTCACCAATGGCATTTCGGAAACGGTAAGAGATACGAAGCCGGCGATACGGAGGAAATGATGTGCAATTGGGTAATTAAGAAAATGACGCTTGTAAAGTTTCGCAAATGATGGTTGACCGGAGAAACTAATTTTCTATTTTTTCCCGATTTTATTTTAGGTTGGATTTCAAAATAAATTGCACATTAACATTTCCACTTTTTGTGGACGTTTTGTCTCAACCATCAACTTAATTTCTTCTTATGGACGCCTTATTGGAATAATGCACAGCTGAAAAGAGTTTTGTAGTAATGTAAAAATGTATGTGTCAAACATTGACAATGCCAAACTTTAGTTTTTCAAAAAAACTAATATCTCCACAGTTGGCCTTGAAAATTGCAGCATATCACGGGTTTGCTCGATTACATCCCCAGCTATATTGCTTCAGTTTCTGAGAAGCATGTTTAAAACGGACATTCAGACAATTTGTCTATTTATCGTCATGATATCCCAGCCGTATGCAAAATGTTCTCATCGACTTAGATATGACGGATATAAAATGTGTTTGTTTAGCAACCTATTACATCGTCTAAGCTTTTTGTTTCTATTCGGTTTTTAAAACTATACAGTTTTGCATGTTTTATTAGTACCCTTACGAAACATGGAAATTCATTATTATGTTCTTTATTCCAGAAGTTAAGACAAACTAACGAAATATTACTTTTTTATGCATTTGAAGCTTTATAATGTCATGATATGTACAATATCGTTTCATTTAAATCGGAAATATAAAATGCTTACTTATGCCCAGTTCACAAAAAATGAAGAAACGTTTGACTGATGATATCAGGAAACAAATGACTATTAATAATTTCAAAGTCTATTTAGGAAATTGTTTTTTCAATAATTAAAATTAGATCATATTAGTGTATGACATATTGAATCAGAGTACAAAACTCAACCAATGTATGCAAAAAACAATATGGCGCACATAAGACCAAATAAAGTTGATGGTTGAGGACAAGATAACGTCATATTGAAGTTTCAATGATACCACTTTGTAGAGGAGAAAAAGTGGCATTTTTAATGTGGAATTTATTTTGAAATTCCACCTCAAATAAAGTCAGAAAAAATATAAGCGTTATTGAGCCTTTTTTTTTCATCTCCAGAAATATTCTGAAATGCGAAGCTCACTAAGGCCACTTTTCTTAGTTACCCGTATAATATTGACTTCAGCCGCCATTCCCAATTACATGAGCTCATAGACTATAATATTAGCATTTTGGTTAGATCATATTGTATAAAGCAGTAAGTGAAGGCGTACGTATACGTTTAAGTATACATTTTAATGGCACATTTTTCAAATTTTTGGTCGGCAAGTGCTGAGGCATATTAAGTATAACAAAATATGATTTATACAATGTTATGATTGAGTCGGTATTTATTATGACACCATTCTTAACAGAAAATAGTATAAAAATAATAATGTATATATACACTATACTCAAGGGTCTTGCAACTTAGGCTGTCCCTATTACGTAAATAATTAATAGGTCATAAATTATGATACGTGATTTAGGAAAATGGAGTTAGTAACGTATTAGGGACAAACGAAAACAACAATCAACAGAAGGGTCTCTTATTTTTCCCTAGCTTCATGGGAGATTTCAAAATAATGCACTTTTTGATCTTAACAAGGTGGCTTTATATTCCTAATGTATTTCAACTCCATTTCTTCTTAGAGGCACTGTATGGGATTTTGCAGTGGATTCGATTCACTAGGGCGAAATAGTAATACCGACTCATCCTCCAAAATTTATACATCCAAATCTTAGCACGATTAAAGCTTATACCTATATAATAAACTGTTGATTATGATTCTTTTATAATATAAGAGAATGCTCTTAAAGCTGTGAGAATTCGAACACGATGACATATAAGTTACTCGAAACTTAAAAAAGAACTAATCAATGACAAGAATTACAAGCTTATTCATCCAATAATAGTTAGACAAAATACGTTTTCTGGAAAGTACCCAATTTATATACTGACTTAATTTTATCTGGTGATTTCACAATATACAACATTTCATTCAGTAATACAGGATCTATCGCTTTACGCATCTTTGAATTAATGCTCTGCAATATGTAACATAATATTCGCTTCTTTCCTGAAGGTCTGTACTCTGTTTTTGAAATATGATGGGAGTATATTAAAATTGACCAACACCAAGAATAGTCAATTAAGCAGACTCATTCTCCATTTTTCGTAATATTGCACGTCGTCATCTACTTATACCGGGTGTTCCTGTAAAGTAAAATCTTAGGGAGTATTGACCTTTCCTCTTGTGATAATAAAAAGTCATAAATTCAGTTTTCACGGATGATTTAAATGGAATTTTGTACGATAACAAAGTCACCGAGTAGTAACATTAAACTAGACGGACGGTTGAAAAATCCATGGCCGGACTCGTTTTTTTCACTATTTAGTTTTTTTATCAAAATCAACACCTTTAATCAGATTATTGAATTATTTGACTATGTACGAAAAATGCAATGAGTGTTGCTATTCAGGTTGAATAGGTTGATTGCGCCTCTTCTAGTTTTTTAGTTAAACATTTGTATTTATTCAAATATGTTATTTTTAACAGTTTCAATTGTCAATAACTTGATTCCATTAAAATTTTACAAAATAAAACTTAAACTTGCACCAAAGGTGTCTTGGGGATTCAATATTCCAGGGTTGGAATTAGTAGTTTATTTCGTTGTATTTTATTAAATGCAACGCCTTGTAAGTTATAATCTGTATTTATTATTTCGTGAACAAAGCAATACATGAGATAAATAAAAGCGAAACTTAATTTTATTATCCTTCTTAGCTTTTTGGATTTTTTTGTAAGAATCAATTGCACTAATTCATATTGTACAACTAACTGTGTTCTGCTTAAAAGGAAAACGGCATTTAATAATATGCAATTCCTCAAATTTTACATCCCAGACCAAGATTAAGTTAAAAATCCACAAGCATGTAGTATGCAGATCCCGATTGACATTCAGTTCTGTGATGTACATTATGTAACTAAATCCAGCGTAGGGTTCTGGTAAGGAAACGTACACGTAAATATGCTGAAAAAGCTGAGTCCAGGACTGGATATTTAGATTTTTATGCCTTCTCATCATAATCTTGAATTCTGGAGAGTCAAATTCAGTGCATTTGCGTACTGTCGTTTCCTTCTAAAGCAGGACATATGTTGTTATATAACATCAGTTAGTAGAATTAAATAATTCAAAAATTGCGAAACATACTAAATAAGCACATAACATTTAGTATACCTTTTAGTCATATAATATCTGTCGCGTTTCTTGTGAAATAATGACAACGTAAAGGGCATTGAACTTACTAAAATACAAGGGAAAAAAATAAAGTCCATCCTAGAATTTTGAGTTTCTCAATATTTTTAGCAATATTTTGTAATATGTTAATCAAAGCAAGTTGATAACTCTTGACATTTTGAGATTTGTGTCACGTTACTTGCTAAACATAAGATATTTGGAAAGAAAAACTTAAACAAAAAAACAAACTAGGCGCAATCAATATATTTTGCTCAATAACTAGCACAATTTATTGGCTTTGCTGGTACATAGCCCAACATTTTGATATTCAGCTGAAAAGGTGTTGATTTTGACAAAAAACAAAACAGCGAAAAAAGTCCGACCCTTGGCTTTTTAAATGTTCGGCAAATTTTACGATACTCCTAAGTAATTTTCTTCTCGTGAAAAATTCTAACAAAATCAGTTCAACGGTGCCTGAGATATTATGTGATATTAAAGATTTGGCGTACTTAGATAAATCACCCTGAGATATTCGTAAAAATTGAATATAGAACTTTTTATATAATACTACCTGGTATGTCCATTTAAGTACCGAACACCCTGTTTGTATAGGTATTTCAGATCAGTGCCACTAACTTGAATAACAAATCATAGCATAAATAAAACGAAAACATGCTTTTTAGTTATGCAAAAATAGCGGATCAAACAAAACTTTTGCGAAATAATTGGTGTCAGTTGATGAAGTGTTTGCGTGAAATTTTGGGCAGCATTTCCCGTAGTCTGTTACAATTGAGCTTCTGTTGATTAAGATATTCAATTTGCCATTAGAAATATTTTTTTTCGGTATTTGTAAGAAAAGTTAAATAGCGAAATTACTTAGGTTTCAGAAGCTGAATCCGGCTTCTTTTGCTTTGGACTATGATTTTTTCTCGAAAAGTTGCTTAAATGTAACAAGTTAATTGAGTACCAGTGACCACCAGACTCAAGAAGCCGTTATTTCTTATGCATTGGAAGTAAAAAAATGCCACATACATAGGTTGATTAATTGACATGACTAAATTTTCCTTTCTGAAATACTTTACTTATACGCTTTATTTTCGGTCAAGGTTTTCAAGAATAACAATTCATAATCATATTGTAGCTACTAAGTATATACATACGGTAGTTTGCTTCGGTTTCGGTTAAAATGACGGTTAGAGGTAACTCCGGGTTAGTCTTTGCACCATCATTATCACCTCTGAGATAAGGCTCAATTGGGTGTTAAGCTCAGTGAATAAGACATTTGTTGATAGAACGCTAGGTTTCCTTTGGTTGTTTTTTATAATTTTCTTGTAACTGTCATTTGTGTTGTTTTGTTTGTTTGCTGAGTATTATTGAGAAATATAAAAGCATTACTGAGTGTTCCTGCAAAGAAGAGTTTTGAATTGTGGAAAGCCGCGAGACTGTTCGCGCGTTCTGGTTCAGATATAATTAAAAGTAATCCAGAAATCGACACCCGAGCCACACAAGGACACTTTAGGATTGGCATCTACCTTGGTGTTCCTCTCTGTTCGCAGCTTGTCCTTAGGTCACTACACTTGTCTTAGCGATTAGATGAGTTCTGTATCGAATTAATGGGTTTAATTAAGATTTTTGGTGGATTTTTGAAAGACCAACGTTGATTGTAGAATCTTAACGAGTTGACTACTGGATGCTTTGTCTTCTGGTGCGCATGTTTGGCCAGTATGCGCGAGTGCTAAAAGGTTTGATTTTGTATGGCTTTTGAATGAATAATGTAATATATTTTAGAACTTGAATGAACACTGAAAACAATGAGAGAGGAGCAGAGTGGTGCCTCCACCGAATATGGCAATATCTGTATTTTTTCGGTACCCGTGGATCTATCCATTGTCTGGGAATACTCTTCTCGTTCGTCAATTCGTTTGGATATACCAAACTTCAACAATTCCAGAAGAATCAGGTCATCCTAATCGTTCTTCGTTCATGATTAGGTCCAATATTTAAAAATAGGCTACCAAATTACCAGGGTGTTTTCTAGACCTTTGTAGACAATTCTGTGTGACGTATACCCTATTTCACGAGTATCCACCATGGTAGAATGACAGCTGATTATCTAGTAATATTTCAAAATTCCCCATATCAGCACAGGACACATAATTCTGACGGATCCGTTAACGCCAGGTACTCATAGCCGAATTTTGTTTTGATTTTTTGTATGCTACAGATTCATTTCATACTTGCTAACAGCTGATTTAGAAAAGTACATTGTCATACAAAAAAAACAAAACGCTATACGTTTTTACTTTATTCACACTCGATTCATTATTGCCAACGTTGCTGACTAACACTCAAATGCCACTTGCTGATCAGCTGTTCACCTCAGTAGGCGTCAAATCGTAATGGATACTCGTGAAATAGGGTTTACGATGAGCCTTGTTGATAAACACAGTGAACAATATTTTAAAAAAACTGATATTCCAAACATAATTCCAAATATAATACAACTTACAACCGATCATAGAAGAGAATAACATAACACAAAACGCAGTTAGTGGATGTCAAAGTTCAAATTAATCTCAAATCATATAGCCAATAAATGTATTCATTCTTAGAGATATCCCTATATTCCAAAGCTGTTAGCGTGACAAAATGTCTAGGTTTATAAAGCCTTGATGGTGCAAACCTAGAGTTACCCGTACCTTCGAGTTAAGTAACCTACGCCTTTAACCCATAGCGATGCAAACCACCGTTAGTGACTTTTTCATAATCCCAAAACAAGACAAAATAGGGTTGAACTCGAGTTACAGTCGGATTTGGATGAGATCAGTATCTGTGATTTCATAGGAACATTTGTTTAATTTTGTTTGGTTCCAATTAAGTTCACCTGAACTATGTTTGTCAACTTTGGAGTTGATTGGAATATATATATATATATATATATATATATATATATATATATATATATATATATTAAATAGATCTAAGGAGAACAATTACTGTTAAGCTGGCATACAGGAAACATTTTACAAGATACCTCACATTAATAAACTAACAGTAACAAACAATATTTATACGAGTATCGTATGTTTGCTATTAAAGAGAAATGAGACTCATATCTACACATATACAAATTTGTGAGATAGCTTGTACAAAATTGACGAACTTCTTTACATAAGATATATCTGCAAATGAAAAAATGTCGATAAATTAAAATACATCATACAGGAATAAATTAAATACATTTGTGATTGTAATATCAGACATTCGTTTATATTACATACTCTAAAGCTTCTTGTATTTGTATTTACGAATTACCTAATTTATATTAAAAATATGTACATTGCTCTCATAGCTACCACGTTTGGCGAACCGTTTTTTCACTATTAACGAGACTATTAATAATTTTATCTATATAATAATAAAATAGCAATAGGTGCCACAGTTGAAATAATTATCTATAATCCTAAATACTTAATTTCAATATCTAAATAGATCTAGTGTAAAATGACTTAACGAAGTTTTCGCAGCACTTTTATGACAGGCGTTGATTTGGTAGAGATAAAAATCCAAACGCCCAACATTGATGTCGATACAATTGAATTGAGAAAATACTCCAGGACTGTTTTAGTCTTTGACGATTCAAAAAAACTACTTTGTTTCAATCCTCTAATAGTTTAAAATCTGCACAGATCGTTTCTTATTGGATTACATCCTGAAATATCCGATTTTTTGTTGGAACTGTGTAAACTAATAACCCTAGATGGCTTATATGAAATAACCCATAGCGTTCAAGACCTGAGATCTTGCGAGTCACAATTCATGTCGTTCTCGATATATTCAACGATCTCCAAATATTTTTATTAAAAACTCACGAGCAACAATCCTAAAGCTGCTTTGTGTTGAATAATGTTACATGCATTTGGGACAGTTTTCCAGTTAATGGCAATGAGTCTATAGTCTTGCATTTTAGCTGGATGTTCTTACTTATTTTGGACAGTTTTGACAATTAAGAAGCTTCAAGATTAGTTTTCTTGAATAAAACGGTGTTTTGGATGCCGCCAAAGGAGAAAATGTTGGAACAGTTTAAGTAAACATCTTTTTTTGCTCATATTTAACATCCAATTGACTGATTTCGAAAGGATCTGCTCCATTTGATGAAAATGACATAGGGTTTTCTAGTAACCCTTGCTACAGACATATTTTCATAATCGTCTAGCCTCGGAGGGCTACCTGATGCTTTTTGTTCTAGGGTGCTTTACAAAGGTGATTTTGTGAAAAAATTACAGGAATATGTATAAGTGCTTTCTCATTACATGTTAACTAAAGCATAAAGAATGTACATGTAACGTTTTTATTGAACATCTTGAAATCCTTATCACGGCAACATGTACTTCCTTGGCGCAATTTTTCCACAAATAAATTCTTTTTATTCGAGCGATTGCATTTCTCTACCAATCAACCTCTCATATAAATCTATAATATCGTTGAAAAACTACCGAGCTACAACTATGTGATATGTACTTTTGTGTTTTGGTGTGTGGGTGTAGTGCTTGACATTTTCATAAAACTAGATTCAAATGTTGCCCACAATAAAGGCGCGCACATCACTGTATATTCCTGAAGCTGTTTCATCTTTTTTATCTTCTAATATTCACTATTTCATTGAGCAGTGTTCAATTAAGTTCCACTTATCTGCTCTCCATTGTTAAACTGCAATTAAAGATTATTACTTTGTATTTTACGATATAACACTATGTTCGATACTCAAACCAAATTTAATTTTCTTCCAGTATCAGTGTCATAAATTATTCAAATTTCATTACAGTCATTCGCAACCTAAAGACAAAGAAAAACCGATTAAAATCTTCCATTAATAGCATTTTGTCCGAATGTATACTCGTACCAATGATTCTCAGAAATGAGAATATCGATCGACTCGAGTTCAAGGCTGTGCTCAAATTACGAATATTTTAGTTCACGTTTCGACTTTTGGCTACCTTTTTATTTATTAGCTGTACTTTATCGGTAAGCACATTTACATTAAGAATGATCATATAAGCTTAAATAAGTGGATTGTGGGGCAACACTTTTCTGAAGAAACGCAGGTTATAAAGTTTCAGATCACTTAATCAAGATTTTCGAAGATCGGCTACAATGTAAATGTAAGGAGGTTACTTTTTATCGAAATCAAACAAGAATATATTTATTTAGCCAAAGGATTAGGCTTCCCAAAAGTATTATTTTTGAGCCATCATTATACAGAATTTAAAAAAAATTAGCAGTATCACATTCGGTGTGCTTGGTAATCTAAATCAGTTAATTTTATTTTCCTTGAAGGCCCTAACTGATTACAAAGATATCAGAATTTTACACCGGACTTCAGTAGCGTCTTTTAGGGGCCTCTATCTCCGAAGAGGGAGGATCAGTTTTCCCTTTTTTTTTAACTTATAAAGAATAAAAATAGCGATAAGCATTTTCAAAACTTTTGAGTCTTTCACCTGTCAGAATAATTGTAATGGTCCCTGCTCTTCTGCCAGCCAAACATCATCCCTAATCATTCCCTTCGTCATCGTCTTTATCATGTGAGCCGTTCGTGAAGCTCTTGTAGTGGTAGAAGAAGAAAACCAAGAACACAGCGTATGCAGTTGGAAATGTGATCCGCGCTATCACGTCAATGGTCTTCGCTACTCGAATGGGATGCGGGGGCTCTTTCTTGCGCACCTGCAACACGCATGCCTAATGCAGGTTAGATAAATATTAGATACAGGGGTTGGAAGCCTGAACGGGGGGTGAAATCAAGAAAAAATGACATACAATGATTAATCAAAAAAACAAAAAAAATATATTTCAATTGTCTTGGAGAAATGAAAGCTGCTACCCAAAATGTTCTAATTGATACTTTGGGAACTTAATTTTATTAGAAACCCTTACGGCGAGGGATTTCTTGTATGACGAAACCAATGGAACAAGAAAAAGAAGAATCATGATGTTTATGATATACAAATTTTATTATGAATACATGGTTGATTAGTTTTGTTATATTTTCTATATGCTTCTTAGTATGATCATGTGGATATAGCCGGAGCAGCCATTAGATGTTTCTATGACGAACTACCAGTATTGTAATTTACAGATTCTTGGGTATATGCAGACATGTGGATATCCACTGGATGTATCTGTCCACCCAGTGAGTATCCTGTAAATCCATCGTGGATATCTAATAGAACGTGTGAAGACATACGTGTGCTATAGGACTTTGCCAAATTCCTGATGCAAAAAATTTTGTAAATATTTTGTTTTATTTCCGATCTTTAGATTTAAAAAAATGCTTATAAATAATTATTGATCATCATTGTATTAAATTGATTTTATTTTAAGATTTCTTTGGTATAGAATGAATTGATCTATAATTTTTGTTTGAAAAGATACGAAGAGATTCCTAGAAACAAAAAATTGTATGCTTATCTGATTGATTTGAAAAATCTAACTTATTCTTGAAAGGTCAGTGGTATAGAATATATACTGTCCCTCGAGGTGCCATTGGGATTCATAATTATGTTCTAGTTAACATTAACTTAGCGTCTTATTGCAATAAACAACGCTGCCAAAATTCAACAAAATCGACACAAGAATCTTTGAGATATTAATAAGGAAGCATTTTTTTCAAGCTTTGACACCCTGCATCTTCAAGACCAGAGCTTTTAAATTTGGAGACTATAATTGAATAACATCCTATAAATGACATTCAGCATATTTTCATAAGGAAAATGGACATAAAGCAAAGATAGGAGCTACATGGCACTTAAGTGACTTTTCCTTAGTTGTAAGACAGACTTAGTAGAGGATCCACAGGATCTGTTTACTTTTCGTCTCTGTGACTATGACCGTTGTTTCATGTTTTTTAGTAATAATCAGTACGCTTCAGGTCTAATCATTGGAGATATATATGTAATATCACGTATTCCTGTCAAGGGGTGATAGATTAGGTCAAAAGCAACCGATTTTGTCTTATCATGTCTTATCCAAAAGTTAACCGTTTTTGAGTTATCTGAATTTTAAGTTTTTTATTTTTTATTCCGACTTCAGACGGTTAAAATTGAAATACGAAAAAACTGCATGCTTGATTCTGAGTTTTTTGTTATCGTCGCATAGCAGACATTAATAGTTCATAATAAGAAATAAAATGTTGAAAAGCTACAAACGTTTTAAAATTACGCTTTTTAAATGTATCATTTTTTTTACTAACTTATTCGATAAAAAATACAATTTTCTGTAAAAAATCTCCTAGTAATGAAATGTGCAAATTATGTAAATAATATCTTTATCTAACAAGCTTCATTTGAGGTATTAAGCATTCAATTATCTGAAGTACATGCAGAGAAACAACAATGACACCCACAAAGGCTAGATTTTTAAGGAATTTGTATTACCTGTTTGAACAAATCGATACTGTCCTCAAAGGACTCGCATGCCATGATTGTTTTATGGCATCGGCTCGACGAGGAAGCGGGCGAGAAGAGCAGACTTAGTGGAGGAGTGAGAGAGAGAGAGCTGTTATTATTCATCATTGTAGTTACGCCATCGCCGCACGCCGAGTGAGAATTAGGTTTAGTTGGTATCAACTAATGCGTACGCGCACACGTTTTACGCACGAATATTATTTTCGAGTTTCCCAGTTTATTTCGAGTGGTTTCTTTATCATCATGGCAGACGCAGAAGATCCGCCAGGACCTCGCCATAGCGAGCACGGGCAAACTTTTACAAATGAAGAATACGCAGACATACTGTTCTGTTATGGACTTTGTAACGGCGATTCTGCAGCTGCCCGCTGTGAATATCGGCAACGTTTCCCGAATTGCCGAACACCTCATGTTACTGTGTTTGACTCTATGTATCGGCGCATCCGCCAAACCGGACGTGTTCAAAGGCAACATACTGATACTGGTCGACCCCGAGTCTATCCTCCTGAAGATGAAGAGGAAAGCCTTCGTGTGTTTCAGGAAGACCCTACTACGTCTACGCGCATTGTGGCTGCTCAGTTTGGTAAATCACAATACAAAGTATGGTTTACTGTGCATACTGCAAGATTATACCCTTATCACTACACGCCTGTGCATGTGATTGGAGAGGGCGATCCTGGAAGACGATTAGATTTCTGCAGGTACATGTTACATGCAGATATAGAAGATTCAGACTATTTTAAGATATTCTGTGGACCGATGAATCGAAGTTTGATAAGGACGGGATCACTAACTACCATAATGCTCATTACTGGGCTGATAAAGAAGCTTTGAACCCCCGAAAATAAGACCGACGGGGTCTCAGAGCCGGTTTTCAGTCAATGTGTGGATGGGCATCATTGATGGATATGTAATTGGACCTCATTTTTTGCCCGCCAATTTAAATGGAGAAGTGTATGAAGAGTTCTTGAAAAATCACTTGTTTCCATTAATGGAAGACGTCCCATTGGCGACGAGACAAAATATGCGGTTCCAGCACGACGGCTGTCCCGCACACTACAGTAGATTAGTACGGGCGTATTTAGACTCTAAATTTCCAAATCAATGGATTGGCAGAGGCGGGCCCATTGCCTGGCCAGCAAGAAGCCCAGATGTCACACCGATGGATTACTATGTGTGGGGACATATGAAAAGCCTGGTGTACGATGTTTCGCCCGTACCAACGCGCGATGAATTAATTGCAAGGATAATCAGTACAGCTGACCAAATAAAAAGCCGCTTAACAACTAGAGTTACTAAAAGTGAATTACGTAAGAGAATGCGGGCGTGTATTCGTAACAGGGGATTACAATTTGAGCAGAATCTGTGAAATACTAAAGGAAATGTAATTAAATAAAACTGTAATTAAAATAAAAGCCTTTTATTTATCCTACGTAATTATCGTTCGTACAACTTTACTCATCTTTTTTTAATTTTGTGTCTTTGTACTTGAGTTAGTTGTAACTTTTATACCTCAAATGAAAGCTTGTTAGATAGAGATATTATTTACATAATTTGCACATTTTATTACTATGAGATTTTTTACAGAGAATTGTATTTTTATCGAATAAGTTAGTAAAAAAATAAGAAAATCATACATTTCAAAATCGTAATTTTAAAACATTTGTAAGTTTTCAACAGTTTATTACTTATTATGAACTATTGGAATGTCCGCTATGCGACGATAACAAAAAACTCAAAATCAAACATGTAGTTTTTTTGTATTTCAAATTTAACCGTCTGAAATCGGAATAAAAAATAAAAAAAATAAAATTCAAATAACTCAAAAACGATTGACTTCTGGATAGGACATTATAGGACGAAATCGGTTGCTTTTGATCTAATCCATCACCCCTTAACAGGAATACGTGACATTACAAGTCACCCTATATATATATATATATATATCGTAAAGCTAACATCATATCAAGCCTGTGTATAGCTTACGCAATTTTTACATAGCACGCCCATGCTGGTATCATGATGAAGACTTAGTACCCCCCTGACTGATAAGATGCCTATGTGATTGGCGACTCTTGTCCGGTTCATTGAAGCGGGCTGTCAATCAGAGATGCCGGTAAACTATAGTTTTCTGCCGCCGACGTAGGTAATAGTGTCCCCTCTTCGGTCAGTTACAATAATTCCTGATTTTAGTAGAAAAGTGTCACGTTGTGGTCTTTTTCTTTCAAGACATGCGACTGGACAAAAATAACTGATTTGTCAAAATTGTGATACAATATTGTGTCCACATTATCAATGATATTTCGTGATATACATGAGACCAATGACTATTTTTGTGGAATGTCAAAATGAAATATACTTGTAAATATTTACCTCAGCTGCGCAGCCATTATTAGTTGTATGCGTACAAGGATTAGGTCCACAGTTTGTACACGATACGATCTCGTTTGGAACTGTTGAATCTCGTTTTTTGTCCCCCTGTAAACAAAATAATGAGGAACATATTCTATTTCTTGTATTATAACAGGAAAATATATGAAATGCCATTTTCTAGTATCAACCCTATTTATATCTTTGAGAAAAATTGTATTCACAACTTCATATTGCACCTGAACAAAATTACAAGTTTTTATATTTTCCGTATAATGTGTATTGTATTAATTCATCGAATACTTAATTTATATATTTCCTTCCTACGCCAATGGGCGAGGAATTTTCACACAAGGTTACTAGTACGTCATTGACGGAAAAGCTTTGCAGTTTTTGGAAATCGGTCTAGTGACGGCGAAGAAGGCAACAAAATCTCACTATACGTGACTACTTGACCCCATTTTTGCACCTAATTTCTTTCATCTTCACCTGCGTTTTGAATGTTTGCTTAAGAAAACTTTGGATGATTCTGATTTTGAATCTAAAGGCAGATCAATTGAATTGCACAAGGCGACAGATTAAATAAAATAGTTAGAAAAAGACATTTCCAATATTACATAAGGTATTTTAGGTTAGTGTATTAGTAGCAGTAACATTTTGCAAAATACAATTCATTATACAACATCATTCGAAAAATAAACGTAAACTAGATAAGTTTACATGAACTTCTTTGGTCAGTTCAATTAAGAATAGCAGCTGGTGTATGATAAAACTGAATAATCGTATACAGGGTGTTGATTAAGTATGTGCCAACAAACGATTCTTTGAGTAATTATGAGACAAAAAGATCATATAGTCACAGGTCCGCAAATTCTTCGTTCTCAAGATACAGGGTGTTAAAATTTAAAAAAAAATGGTAAATATCTTAAATATCCTTTACCTTGGTTTGTGTAATTTGCTTTAGCAATGACTTGATTAAATTTATTAAGTCCAGTGGCGTTTCTAGCGGGATCTGAACGAATTTTTGTGACAAAAAAATGTACGCCACTGACTTTTGTGCAATTTTTATTATGTTCTTTGGCTTAAGCAAATAGAAATACAACTATTTTGTCTTATAATTTTTTTTCGTATCTTACTTAGTTTTCGAGACAAAAAAGTCCACTTAATTGCATATCCCTGCACCACACAAGGAATTTGAGGAAAAGTTTATTTTGGAAATTATTATTTTTTTATACTTTTATTAATAATTATAGAAGAATTGCTCAACTACTAGATAGCATTAACATCTAGAGTAACAAATTTCACTAAAGAAGTGTTGGAAATGGCCCCTGTTCAATACAACCGCCATTGAATTATGCACTCTCCTGAAAATACCTGGCATATTTTTTGTTATGTCGCATGAATAAATGATTCTATTCAGTAAACCCTCTCCACTTTCAATAGGAGTTTTGTTTGTATACCAACGCTTTAAGGTGTTAAAAGATAATATAATCTAAGGGATCTACATCGGGCGTGCGAGGGGGCCATCAGTGTGGGCCTGCTGCCCCAATCCAGCGATTATAGTAATTTTCATCCAAAAAGAGTGGTGGAGCTCCGTCGTGCATGTACCACATACTGATTATTTCCATGACTGGAACTTCTTCTAAAAGTCCAGGTAAAACAAATTCTACAAGCCGTCGGTATTCTTTCCCATTAAGTCTAAGTGGAAAAAAATGACGCCCAATGAGATGGTCACCGATAATTCCAACCCGGATATGGAAATAAAACTGTTCTTGAAAATTATTTTCTATTAAGGCGTGGGGATTGGTTTCGGCCCAAATGTTATTGTTGTGGAAGTGAATAATTGAATTGAAAAAAAGGAAGCTTCATCTCCAAGCACTATTCGACTTAGAAAACCTGGATTCCTCACCATTTTACTGCGTAAACAATAAAAAAGCTAGTTTTTAAGTCAAACCTCGGAGCAATACAGCTTGCAAACGTTGGAGATGATATCGATATAGTTGTTGGTCTCTTAAAATCTGCCACAGTGCGACATGGGTAATATTCAGCTTCTTCAAATTGAACTGTTCGTACCCTTGTAGGTCTCCTGATGACAACCGTCGATCTTTCAAAGCTGCCTGATTCAGAAAGTCATGCATCGAGACGTACAAAGGTTCTTCTATACGGAAGTACACGCTGAGGAAATATTTTAGGATAAATGCGTTTTGCAGCATTAGAGTTTCTATGAGTCATTCCATAACAGAAATGCATATCTGCCATCTCACTATCGGTAGATTTAACCATATTGTACAAAAAATAACCACTAATAACACTTTTCATAAAAATTATAAATCAATAATTTATCAATGAAGACACAAGTGGATAAAGGTGTCATGTAACATTTATTTTAAAAATTGCATTTTTACATTAAAATAACCTTAAGGAGTGATTCGTGCATTCTGTGATTACTTTGTTGCAAGAGCAAGTAAAGTAAGTAAACTATTTTAGCGCTGATATTTTCAAAACCCTTACAATTCCTTATCAAAAACCCATATGCGGTTAATGCTTCAGACACGGTTTTCTCAATATGTTTAGAAAAAGATAACTTACAATCCCTAGCCACAGTACATCTAATCACGTACAATATTATATCTAAAATCTATTATATTTAATTATTTCTTCCTTGTGAAACCACGTGACACTTATATACATTTAGTGTTAATTTATTGTTGTTAGAATATGAATGGGAAAAAGTTTAATTAATACGACAAATTAAACTAGAGAAAACCCAATACAATTTATGCATTATGAGTCTTTTTGTTTGTCCAGAGGTGTCCGTAGGTGGTAGACCGTTTCTGACGTGGAGGTACCACCCGGCAGATCTCGTAGGCGGGGCCAGAATGTGTGCATGCTACATGCACACGTGTTCCCTCGCTAGAGTCCGTGTAGCGTCCGTTTAGGCCTTAGGCCTTCGTGGTAACTGGAGTATTAAAAAAACCTTACGGAGTGATTCTTTCATTCTGCGATGACCTGATTACTTTGTTGCCAAAACAAGATAATAAACTAATTAAACCAGATATTTAAAATTTCAACAAAGCAAAAAGTCCCATTAAAAAATGTTTAAAGTCAATTTTCTCCATACAATGACTTTGTTACATGACACCTTTATCCTCAAATACTAAGTTAACGACTGTCAACTGACTAAATTCTGCAATAGTTCTACAAGGCAACCCTTGATCATTATTTACTATTCCTTAGTTCAGTAAAATTCATTAGTTTAGAAGTTGACGTAATGTAACTTAATTTAATGTTCATTTGTTGTTGTGACATAATTAGTAATACAGAAATTATCAAAAAAATAATTTCCAAAACAAACTTTCCCCATATTCCTTGTGTGGTCCAGGGATATGCAATCAAGTGTACTTTTTTTCTCGAAAGCAAAAGACAAAAAAGTTGTATCTCTATTTGCTTTATCCAAAGAACGCAATAAAAGTTGCATAACAGTCAGTGGCGTTTTTTTTTCACAAATATTCGTCCAGATCCCGACTTGATGAATTTAATTAGGTCAGAGCTAAATTAGCTCCTTAATGTTAATACCACCGCCAATTACAACAAAATTAGGTAAAATATATTTAAGAAATTTACGTAAAAGCATTTTTTTTAATTTTAACACCCTGTATCTTGAGAAGGAAGAATTTGCGGAGCTATGTTTATATGAACTTTTTGTTTTAAATTACTCAAAGACTCGTTTGTTAAATTTATGGTGCATACGTATATAAAAAAAACGTTAAGAAAAATTAAAACCAACAGAGCATCATAAGGCGCACAATATTAACATATAGACTCATCAATATGTATACAGGATTTAAAAACGCACTCCACTAAAAATGTCAAAAGACTATTTAGCTCTCCTGGGTTCTGATTAAGTTCCGAGGTTTTCGTGATTTGATGACTGATGGATCACCACGAATATATTATAATAATAATAATAATAATAAATGGCCTTTATTCGTCACATGATTACAAAATAATTGGCTCAAAAGGAATAGTGACGAAATGGTGGAGTGTCAGCTTATGCTGTTTTTCAACCCGACCTAAAAAACATTGACACAAACTGTAAAGAGAAAAAAACATTTAAATGGCACAGTTCACAACATTGACCACCAAAAAGAGAAAAGCTTAAAATTTTACACATTACCATTACCATTACAAATTACCCGTAGATATGCGTAAAGTTAAATTCTAGCCATCCGATTGCTTTAAACTCATCTTTAACCTTTTCTAAAATTGCTTAGGCTATATTCTTTATACTCACTTGACAAGCAGTTATACAGGGTGTCCCGAAAAAAGTGTGCAATATTCTACCAGCGGTTTCTAGAGCTTAAAATAGGAAGAAAAGTTTATATAAACATAGGTCGACCAACGTCTTTTAAAGGGGCTCCCCTGAAGATGGTTATTCCTTAATATTTCCGAAACGTGTTGAGATAAAGACATAAAATTTGGTATTCTAGCCTAGTTTTTTATGCTGGAGTTAAAAATATTAACAATTTTAGACAGTTATGTTTGGAAGCGTATGTAACAGGACGGACTCAGGTTATTTTAGCCCCAAAATTTTTGTGTGATTCTATTTTTGAAATTCAATTTTAGAATTTGAGAATTTAGGGTATAAGAAAGGTACTCCTATTGAATATCGATAAATTGTTCCATTTTGAATAAAATCAAACTAAAAAATTTGTCACATGATAGGAAATGTACTGCGAATTTTTGATTATACATAGTTAGCCAATGACTGCAAACAAAAGTTGTTTTGATTTGTTATGACTTGTTTTGACGTTAAGCTGACATTGTTAGCAGTGTAGAATTACTAGATTAATATCAAAATTTTTATTAAATCGATTTAAAATGCTAAGATTTACAGGCAGAGAACTAACTGCTTGCATTTTGTGTACGGGTTTTGCAATGGCAGTTCAATGGCAGCCGTAAGAGAATATCAAAGAAGATTTCCCAATCGCATAGTACCTGGACGTCGAATGTTTACTGATATTCACCGGAATTTGTCAAACCATGGAAGTTTTCAGCGCATGCAGGGCTCAGGTAGGCCACTGGGAAATCATCGTATGAATATTGCTTTAAATATGTTTGAAAATAATCCGCAAATAAGCATACGAAATGTTTCAGAAAATATGGATATACCTCGATCAATAGTAAAAAAAATTATGAATACCTATTTGATAGTTATCCTAAAAATAATAATTTTAGATAGGAAGAATGACAAGAATGCAAGGATTACATCCTTATTATTTTAAACGGGTGCAGCATTTAACGGAGGCAGATTTATTACCACGAATCGAGTTTTGCCAGTGGATATTAGCAAATGAAAACACTATTCCTAGAATATTATGGTCGGATGAGTAAATATTTACTAGGAATGGTGCTTTTAATTTCCATAACATGCATCACTGGTCAGATGAAAATCCAAAAGTTGTTCGCCGTACAAGTTTCCAACATAGATTTTCATTGAACTTATGGGCAGGAGTAATTGGGGATCAAGTAATTGGGCCTATTGTACTTCCCAATCGTCTTAATTCAGAGGAGTATCTGAAGTTTCTTCAGAATGAGTTCATGGATATAATACCATTGAATGTGCGCCAGCAGTTTCAAGAAAATATGTTTTTTCAACATGATGGCGTCCCTGCACATTTTGGACGCAACGTTCGAAATTGGTTGAATGTCAATTTTCCAGACAGGTGGTTAGGCCGAGGAGGTCCTATAGCGTGGCCGCCACGTTCACCTGACCTATATCCATTGGATTTCTATTTTTGGGGGTCATTAAAAGACCTAGTTTACTCGACTGAAGTAAATACTCAAGAAGATTTACTTCAAAGAATCCATCAGGCTGCAAATGAAATAAAACGAAAAAGGTTTTCCACTTTCCGGGCTACACAATCATTAGTTTGTTGAGCGAGACTCTGTATCCAACAAAATGGGAATTTATTTGAACACTTATTGTAAGGCTAGTTTCAAGTATATCCAACTGTATGTCTCCTTTTTTAAACAAATTTCAATTTCGTTCGTAGAAAAAATTTTGTTTTTGCCTAAATGTTAGCTACGTTGCAATAGAAATATGTATTTATGTAATATGTACCAATTATTAAATTAGTTTTTTCGTTGCCATGGCTAATTATTCAACAATTCATTTAAATTCGCAGTACATTTCCTATCATGTGACAAATTTTTTAGTTTGATTTTATTCAAAATGGCACAATTTATCGATATTCAATAAGAGTACCTTTTTTATGTAGAAAACCCTAAACCTTCAAATTCTAAAATTGAATTTTGAAAATAGTATCACACAAACATTTTGGAGCTCAAATAACGAGTCCGTCCCTGTTACATACGCTTCCAAACAAAACTGTCTAAAATTGTTAATATTTTTAAATCCAGCATAAAAAACTAGGCTAGAATACCAAATTTTATGTCTTTATCTCAACACGTTTCGGAAATATTAAGGAAAAACCATCTTCAGGGGAGCCCCTTTAAAAGACCGTAGCGCCCTTAGGGGACGTTTGTCGACCTATGTTTACATAAACTGTTCTTCCTATTTTAAGTTCTAGAAACAGCTGGTAGAATATTGCACACTTTTTTCGGGACACCCTGTATAGTTTGGGTGCCCGGTACGAGAAACTACAATACGTGTGAACAATGCTGTCGGATGCCGCGGGATAAGTAAGATCGTACTGACAGAGGAGATTTGATTGAATAAAGATAATATGGCGCTTTAAGGAGAAGGATCTTATGTACCAGAGGTAGGCACTGCAGTTTCCTCAATTTGTTCATCTTAAGCCATCCCGATTGGTCAAATTTGCGGATTCCATAAGAAAATCTGATGCATGAGTTTTGTATCATCTGAACCCGCTCGGCATCACGTTCTAAGAGAGCAGGTCCGTAAACATAGTCACCGTACGATAATTTTGGCAGGATAAGGTATTCGCAGAGTTTAAGCTTGAGCTGTGTTGACAGGACACTTCGACTCGGGTATAACTGACGAAGCACATTATAGGATGCATTGCATAGTTTGTTAACATGTTAAGTGAAGAGTAGCTTGCAGTCAAACCAGATATCAAGGTTTTTGCATTCGTCTACAAAGGATATGTCTTCATTATTCACCATAATATTAATGCGATATTGATTTACTTCACGATTCTTTTTGGACCCAAATAAAATGCGGCAAGATTCCATTTCGGATTCACGTGGATGATATAAGGGGTCAGTCGGGGCAAGCTTTTCTGTCACTGCATGCTATAAGGCGATTTCGGCCACTTTTATTACCATCAATGTATGTATCATTACAGATATTCTTCGAATGACAACTTCCAGTCAGGTTAGTCTTTTGAGTTCACTGATAAACTATAACACATTTTAGATGAATTAAAAAAACACTCCTTTTTCAACCACTCGCATTGCGTACCATGACAATAATTTTTAGTAGACTGCAAGAGTATTTAACTCAATATATTTTTTGTTATTAATAAGCACCTTCGTGTAAGCAAATAATAAGCGAATGCAAAATGGTAAATACCGTAGTGCCTCTATTCCAAGGTAAACTCTTCTGCCTTACCTGTAAAATACCGCACATTTAATTATTTGCATTTCATGTATGATTATAAGCACTCTGGACGTTTATTAGTAGTTGCTTAGGTTACGATGAGTGATACTTTGGAATTTATATCTCCAGAATATGTAGTTGTTTAGTAACTTTTCCTTCAGATAGAGCTTTTTATTTAAACTTGGGTAACATGTAGGATAAATTATAAAGCAGCCATCAGAGTGTTGGGTTTTTGCAGCTGTGGTTATTGTTTTCAACAATAACTATACGTCCGGTAAGTATGATTTACCATATTGCATTTGCATGATATAATAAGCTAAATAATTATGCTCCTACGTGACTAAATATAAAAAAATCAATACTTGTATGTGATACCATCAATCAAAACTAACTTACTCTAAACATAGGGCTTTCACAGAATGTGGAATAATATTCTTGTTCAGCGGTTTCCTAACAATAATAACCAAAATAAACGTAAATGAAATTCTGGAAAATAAGTGACTCTCAAATTCAAAAACACTTAATATGTTCAATCTGTCGCACAAGCTTTGATACCTCTACATTGGAATTCATTCCGATTTTATATACCCATGATTGATTATGTTGTATCAAATCTTCAATAATCCAGTATATCTAGTTACTTGAAAGCATTTTACCGCGAACTCCTTTATTTTAACAGAAATTAGCAGCCATTAAAAATCTACTATGTCGCTTAATATAAAACTTAACTGTGTTAATAGAGAAATAGATGAAATCGTAATGTTCCTTCCAATATTATACTTTTTGGCTTTATCTAAAGTAAACTTCCTTAAAAGATAATCAACCAAATTGTTGCATGTATTTCAGAAAATAACCGATGACATAGCAGTTTGTTATTATATGGTAAACGGAATATTTGGTTGACTAGGTTTTAAAAATCATGCACAAACGTAGAAGGCAAACTAGAAAGGTAAAGTCGTATGTTATGTTGGCTAGTGTTGGTATGTTTGACGTAACTAAAATCTAAATTTAGGGTAATCTAGTTCAGATATATACTATAATAATGTTTTTTCTGTTTTACAGGTAAGGGATTTCTAAATCAGCAAATCAAACTAAGTAAACAACTTAGTTATCTACCTAATATTATTTCCACATCTGCACTGACTTACCCTTACCTATTCCCAAAAATAGCGTAAACATAGAAAGCGTGTTAATGTTTCCGTTGCGTTTCTGACGCTCATTTGAATATTATAAGAACAAAAAGGTCGAGAAGGCTAATGGATTATAGACTGAAATTGCAACCTTCGAACACAAAGTATAATTATCATAGAATTTTAACAACTACAGGGCCTGCTATAAAGTAAAAAAGAAAATATAGAAAATAAGAAGATAACATGAAGTTATAACAATGCCTTATTAATTTTATCCAGGTGATTTGATGTGATAAAATGCCTTAAGTAGAAATTTTTCGATGTGTAAGTATTCAAAACGCAATTTTCCAGCTTTATTACATGAGCTTGGCTAAGAGCAGGAAACAATTGCTTTTATTTATTTTTTTAAATGAGAAGGTTTACTACTGAGGTGAAGATTTAGAAGCTTTCAATCAGTCTGAAATATTGCTTCCATTGCTTCTTAGGAAAGCGATTCGACTGCACAATAGCAGAATAACCAAAACTTGACTTATCTCTTTTAACACTTTGACAACAGACATGCAGAAGTGCTATTTAGACAGAGCAGCTGATAAGTTCTTGTTGACCATTTACGAGTAATATCAAGTGGTGGATAATATATTAAGTTAAAAATGATATGTTTAGACATTTGTATTGCTACGAGAGGTGCCTATTTAAGATAGTATGAGTGTATGTGTGTGTATCAATAGCTTCACGTATTGAGTCATGTAAACTGGAAAAAATCCCAATTATGAAAAGGCGTGCACATTCTTTAAAAAGCAAAAAAAAAATGGAGAGGTGAGGTAAATAATAATAAGGTTGATAGGAATTACAAAATCTCACAGATGCTATAGTAATGGTCGATTTGATATGAGTGGCACTTGAAACAATTTTGCCATGTCATATACAAAGGTCATAGACCCTGGTATATGTATTAGTCATCGTCATTGTGTGTGTCATTTCTTAACAGGATTATTTTATACATATTATACAGGTTGGCGCATCGAAAACGAAACAGACGCATTTATTAGCAGCTCAGTTTTTTTTTGGAAAAACGCTAAGACCCGTCGATTTTGTTTTCGAGGGGGACACAAGTTTGGCAAAAAATCACGTTAACACGTGCAGCCCCCTGGGCGGGGGTGACATCAACCCTAAAATCTTAAATGGAAAGGGGGGTCGATTGATACCTTATTTTAAAGGTCTTTCAATTCCCTTTATAATGATGTAAAATACATGAGCTTCAGTTCAGTAGCTTTGAAGCTTTGAAGATTTATTGATTTAAAGCTTAAAGTAGACTTTAATAGGTCTGTACTACATTCAGAAGAAATTTGAGTAAAAGAATTTACTTAATAAGTAAATGCTTTTTTCACTACACCCATGGTTTGTTTATCATTTTGTTGTTGAAAATAGCTATTGGAGCGTTTTTTTGTGGCAAAAAAGTTATTTCTTGAAGAAAGATAAGGAAGTATCTCGTACTTATTTTAAATAGGAATTTAGTACATAGTTTGCTATTGATTTGACCAAACTTTGTTGCTAAAATAACTTGTAACGCTTTATTACATAAATTAACCATGGTATATTCCACAGCGGAAAGAGTTGAAATTATCGAAATATTTTTCGGAAATAATCAGTGCGCTACTAGAACAGCAGAAATATTTAATGAGCGACATGAGAACAGTAACGTGCATCGAAAATATGTTCAAGAACTTGTAGCTAAATTTCGAGAAGCTGGGTCAGTCGCCAATAAAAAACGCATCATTGAAAATCCCATAAGGAACGAAGCAATAAGTGGGGGTTTTAGGGCAAGTTTATGTAGATCCTACGTTAAGTACCCCCAAATTGGATATTGTGTGTGGTGTTAGTCGACGTACTGTCCAACGGATTTTAAAGGACTATAGTTTTCATACGTATAAAATTCACTTGGTACAAAAACTTAATGAAGACGATTTTGATCGGCGATTAAAATTTTGTGAAGATATGAGTGAACGAATTATAGTCGATGAACATTTTCTATTCAACACTTGCTTTTCCGACAAATGTTCCTTTTTCTTAAATGGCGTAGTAAATCGTCATAACTGCCGATATTGGTCCGATTCTAATCCCAGAATTTATCATGAGGTTCATACACAGCAGCCACAAAAATTAAATATTTGGGCTGGTATTTTTGGCGATCATTTAGTTGGTCCTTTTTCTTACCTGGAAATTTGATCGGTGAAATGTATTTGGAATTACTGGAAGACGCCATAGATCCTGTATTAATAGCCATAATTGAAAATCAGAATGATCGGCGGTACATTGCGAATAGGTTGATGTTCCAACACGATGGTGCCCTACCAAATTACTCGTCAAATATTGCAAAATGTGCGACAACGTTTTGAGCAAAATCTTTATTATTGCATGGAGGGTCATGGTGGCTATTTTCAACATTTACTTGCCTAACGGGTCAGTTCGTTCTTCATTTTTAAATTACTTTGCTGCCAAATGTATTGATCTCCGCTAATGATGATGTATTAGTTTTATCTAAGCTTTAAATCAATAAATCTTCAAAACTACTGAACTGAAGTACATTAATTTTATATCATTATAAAGGGAATTGAAAGACCTTTAAAATAAGGTATCACTCGACCCCCCTTTACATTTAAGATTTTGGGGGTGGTTTCACCCCGGCTTCGGGGGCTGCACGTGCTAACGTGATTTTTTGCCAAATTTGTGTCCCCCTCGAAAACAAAAATGACGGGTCTGAGCGTTTTTCCAAAAAAAACTGAGCTGCCAGTAAATGCGTCTGTTTCGTTTTCGATGCGCCACCCTGTATAACTCGTGGTGCAAAGCTTGGGCGTACAACCCAATATTCGTTTTGAATCATACTCAGTCTCTCGATTTTTATCCCTCTCCAGACATTACGGTGGATGTTGTAACATATTGTTGCTGAAGGAGTGTGTAGATAGATAGATATAGTAAGTGCAACACAAGGGGACTATAGTGAAAAATGCAGATAACGTTGGAAATTTTTGAATCATTTGATTGAAAATTAACAGCAGTACTTATATTCTCATTTCAAACTACTTCTACTTGATTGATTTAAAAATATAATATGATTTTTTTATGCTGAGGGTATATTTATAATAAAATGTCGATACTAATATGCAGAGTTACAAGCCACAATAATTTGGTAATTGGGATCCAATGTGCTACAAAATATCTCATGTTTCAAGAAATGCAAATTTGGCAGACATTCGAATACAGTGACAGATACGTCTAGTCGTTGGTTAGTTCTGATGAACTGGTACCTCTTTTTTATTAGCATAATTACATATGCAACAATTTTGAAAAAATATTGCCAATTTCCATCAATGCAAGCTGGTCTTAATTTGGCGCGGCATTCGCACAGGGAATTACTGATTTTCGATGAACCACTCAAACTAGAGGTATCCGAAAACAATTATTATAATGAAAGTAACCAAGAGAAATTGCTGGAAATTATTTTCAGCTTTCTAAGATGGCCTCTACTTGGTTCATTCCAATTTAAAAACCGAAACACCATTATTTTGCAAAAATTCATAATTTTCGATCTCTTTAGTCGATGTCATTTTTTCATATGTTGGCTAGCTTAAGGTGGTGGAAGGGTTGAATGTCATTTCAGACAAAATCATATAACTTCTGTTTGGTTGAACCGATTTTGATGACCTTGGGTTCGTTTGAAAGAGTATTCGCTCACGCTCTGAACTCTGAACGAATTCTTGTTGGTTCAGTTCAGTTCGTGGTCGATAGATGGCGCTTTTTGGATGTGTCAGCGTGTTTTCGGATGTTTTCGAAAATTCCAAATAAAAAGTTTTTTCATATTGACCGGAAAGTGCAGAGTAAATCCTACTGCATGGTGGAAACCGCAGTTCAAGATCTTTATACGGCATGGAAATATATAAAGCAATAAGCCTAAATTACATCAAGAAGAAAGTTTTATCCTATGACTATTGCGTAAAATGTACCAGTATGACATGATTTTGAAATATTTCAATTTGAATTTTGTTTTTATGCTCTCTCATAAATGCCAGCTTTCGCCTGATAAATGAAAAAATATATACGATATTTCATGAATTGCTTATATTGCAAGCCCAACTTGTAATTAGAATGACGCCAGCTATCGGTATTTTAAGAAGCTGAAAATTATTTCCAGCAATTTATTTTGGCCTCTTTTATTACAAAAATGTTTAATTGACCGCTCTAAGTTGAGCGGTTGCCAAGATCCTATATTATTGGCTCATCCGGTACATCTAATCGCCTGTAGTCAACCCTATGAAAGCATCAGATTGGTGTAATCGAAACTAGGAGTTTTGACAGTAATGATGGTTGAAGAAGAATTCTTGACGAATATTGTACTTTATTCGAATGCCGAGAGTTGTACATGGGATCTCGGATTGTACTACTGGGCAGTTTCTTTGAGTATTTGTGTTCCACAATTTTAGGATCTCCGATACTGCTTTTTCCATGTTATACCGCAACTTGACTCCCGGCGATATGACCGATTTGCGTAGCTCATAATAGAGTTGGGTGGGTTCTAACCGGGTCCATCCAAAGGATATCGCAGAGGGAGTGAAGGAATTGATTCCGATGGCTTTGATTCCGATTCTGATTCCAGTGGTTTCGATTCAGACTCCAGAGACTGGGAGCAACTCTTGCGACACCATCGTTTAAAACCGGGTTGTATTTGAACAGACTGTTTGAATGGAAGGATGCCGCTTTATTCCAGCCACTCTAAGCGTGTAACAATCTACAAGGTAATAACTGTGGCGTAGTTTGGAGTATAGACGGTTTCCATGCTAAGCTGCCATTTTAATTTATCGCAGAAGATGAAATCGAGAGAAAACAAATAATAATGAAGCAGAGTTAAAGAATAGACTAAAAAAACGTTTAGTGATATAGAAGAAAACACTTCAGACAGTGAAAGTTTTGTTTTGACGAGTTCTGACTAATTCGTCCAAATAAACAAACATCTGTTTTCCAATGAGCATATTTACACTGGCAGCGATCAGCACGTCAGAGTATGTACGACGTCGTTAAAAAAAAAATGATATTTTCGTACAACCTGCACCTTTTTCGCGTACTTACATGGTTATTTCACCATGGACAATGATATATTGAAAACCCTTCTGTACCAGAACAGTTTACTCTGGGTTATGAGATGTAAGAATATTCAAGAATAACCTTTCTATCTCTCCGAGAAAATAAAGAATTAAAATGCTCTGTTTTCCACCATTTAACAGTTTTTCAAGTAAGTAAATAAAGTTCGTCATACTTCGTCCATATTTGCTGGGCGGCAGAAACGTATTCGTCAGAACTAAATTTCGTCAGAATTCGCATCCATAGCAACCGTAGTCTAACGCAAACAGTGCCAAGGGGAAGTGGAAATTACTCATCCGTCATTGGGCTAAGTATTACTCCCAACATCGAACGACTAGTTGAAAAATGTTCTAAGCTATAGCCTAAACCAACTAGTTTCTACAAAAATGTGCAACTACACAATTTCTAATAGGTCATCGGAAATTGTATACAAGCATTAAAACGCCCAATCGACATAGAAACTGCGGAATTTCAGTTTATACCCCTTAACATCCCTTCCAATCTGTTTCACAATGTCCGTGACCGTCCAATGGCAAAATGTACATAGCTCACAGGCACGTTCTTCATTTGAAGCATTTAAAGATAACAGCAAAGTCCGAATACCTACAGAGGCATGCCTTTCAAACAGTTCGTCAAAAATCAACTTGGTATCAACCTCGCAAGAGAGCTGGTTCCGAGTAACGATTATTATTTCTATCGCGTAAAACCAACGAATTCAGACTAGGTAGAAGAAGCCACTCGAGGATTTATTTATAGTCTGTAGTGGGGATCAAAGTGCACTTGGCAGAAGTCAACTTTTTGACAGTTCTGTCATTATATTCGTATATCTAGTGTCATTTCTTGAAAGTGCTAGTTTTTGCACATAATTGTGGTGTTAGACTACGCAATTTTGACCAACAATGCAATGTTTCCATATTGGTTTGGTTCTCTCTAATCTATTCTAATTCGTTGCGTAATACCCATTCATATTATGCATAAAACTGTGGATAATTAACTGTTTAAATACCTCGCGCGCAATCATGACTGCCCGTGGCAGTTTCTTGCAGCGCTTGTCGAGCTTTTAAGGTTACAGAGATTCGCACAAAAAATCAGCGTAAGTTTTAGGGAGAAGCGTTGCTGTATAGTAGGTATTAAATGTGCTATGGTTTGAGGTTTGAGCATCATGAGATTGACATCTATTATCTGCAGTCTCCAAATAGTAAACATAGTCAGAAGCATAAAGGAAAGAGGAAGAGAGGATGCAATAAGCGACAGATGGCGTTCTGATGATAAAAGCAGGTGGTTGATGCTGCTTACCAACGGACTGGCGAGAATAATACCTATCCTGCTCAGAACAGCGGGCAATCGCTGCAACACCGAGAACAAAACACACAAAACAACGTCTCAGATACATCCGTACGCTGACAACACACAGCTATAGTTCAGAAAGAAAAAAGGAAACAACAAATAGAGTGATAGGAAAGACACATGTGCTTCTTTTCAAAATTAGCAGATTACGTTTACGTTATTTTTAAATGCTTGCGCCTTCTTCATATTCAACGCCTTGTACTTTGTCTGCGCTTAGTATTGGGTAGTTAGCGCCGCATGTTTTTTTCAATAGCTCGTCAGATTATTTCATGTTGTGTATAGAGATGACTAAGAACAATGTTATCAGTTCCTTTTTTCTCAAATTTTTTATTTTTTGAGCATTTTTTCTTCGCTTGTTACTTTGTTAACGAATAATAGTATCTACCGATCTAAAATTGTATGTGGATATTCCACTTTTATGAAAGAACTGAGCGGATGATCACTTTTTTCTTATTATTTTGTCCCCAAAACATCTTTGCTTTTCTTGCAAAATTAATTTGGTGCAAAATGACTGTTAAGAAACTCGAATATTTTCGAAGAGGAAAAGTAATAAGAATAAAAGTATTCGCCCGCTCAGCTCTACTATAAAAGTGGAATTTTGATATATAATTTCAGAGCTGTACTAATATTTGCTAAGTTACGATTGAAAGAAAAATGCACAAAAAATGTATTTTTGATAAAACGATAACATAACTTCTTAGTCATCTCCATATACACCATGAAATAATCAGATGAAAGGATTTAGAATAGTACTCCAAGTATGCAGTTGAACAAAAAGGGAAACACGACCTTAAGCACTTGGAAATACATTGTCATATGTCATTTGTATCAGCGGAAGGCGCTGAAGGTAGAATAGCCGCAAGCACTGGTTTTACGCATTATTATCAAAGCAAGTAAAGCGTTTTTTAATGATAAGAAGAAATATTTGCATTTATCAAATGTTTTTAAGTCAACCAACAGAACTTTCCCTGTCGAATATGTTCGCAGAACCGGTTCTTAGTTATATGTAGTTACCTCCTTCTTTTTAAATTAGTATCTATTAGTGCTGATTCCGTTTCCAAAACATTCATAAACATCTTAAATATATCCTAGATGCTATTTTTACACATCTATCAAATGAATACTTTTTGCTATTCGTAGCTACTTTAATATTGCAAAATACAATATTTTTACAGAAGGAATGAAACTTTCATTTTCTTAATCATAAGAACAGACACACAGACACAGAAGGTAATTTTGATGTGAGGCATATTTTGTTTATTTTCTGCGATAGCTACAGAGCAACAAAGCTCGTAAACATGTATAGAAGGGAAATCTTCTGCATATTATAGTCTACGTTATAGATTATCTGTAATATTTTTCGAAATATCATCTAAATATACACAGAAAAAGGAAGTTCCAGTAATAATGCATTTATTACAACCATTTTTTGTATACATGTCTCTTGGAGTTAGGAATTATACAAATTTTAGGAAAATCCAACCGCTGATAAAAAATCTTGAGGTATCTCATCCCAGGCTACTTGTACCTCGTGCCGAAGTGCCGCTGGAGTCTAAGGGCGATAGGGTAAACGGAGTAATATTCTTCCAATAATATCCTAAGCGTGTTTAATCGATGAAAGATAGAGAGATCTAGGGGCTAAGTAAATAAATCGACTTGATTGTCTTTAAAATGAACGAACGTAATTCTGGTTATATACGGTCGCGCATTATCTTGTTGAGATGTGGGTTAGTAAGCAAGACATGCGGTTCCCTCACCTCTCACCTCTCACCCGGCGGTCATGTTGTCTTTAATGAACACCAAAGGTGACCTGCTTCTGTACGGAATAGCCACTGATACAATAATTCCAACAGTGTGTTGCAGATGCGTTTCCATAGAAAATTGTAAATCTCGCCTTTCACCTCGTCGCCTTCTCACTCCTGCACGGCCATCATGCATCCCCAAACAGAATTTGGACTCATCACTAAAGGCAATAGCGTTGCCTAAAAGTGAGAGATAGGAGAAACTGGGGACGGTATGAAGTAAGTCCAAAACTGTTGTAGACTGATGTGCTCTTGGCTTTTAAGAACCAACCAGCCACACACAAGACCACTATTCTCACCCCATCAAGCTCCTGTAGAAATCTTTCTCGACTTCTCACTCTAGGCACAATGCACAGATGAAAGCAGCCCTTCACCACGTATTTTACGATGGTCGATGACCAAATGTCAGTTGTAGCTACAAAACTCAACTACAGGGTTATCCAAATTAAGTGTCCACCATTAGTAACTTTGTTATTAGTGAACATACAAAGTTGTTTGAATTAGCAAACTAGTAGCATTTTTAACGCTGGTAAAAATGAGAAATAAAAAAAAACAATTGAGAGTCGTTATTTTGATTTTTTTCAGTATATTTTTTTTATTTTTTTAAATGGAAACCCCTGTATATTATATTTTTTTCTGTTAAAGCATCAAATTTTAAACAAAAAAGCTTACAATAACTTTTCTCCTAGGTTACAAATTGTTGAAGTTATGGCCTCCAATCTGAAACAATTAAATTGTATCGACAAACTTTATTTTCAACATCAACTTATAATCTTACAAAATACAATAACCATTTTTTTTAAAGAAGATGCTCGAAAACACCACCTTGTTCTTCAATACATTTTTGGGCACGTTTCTCAACTGCTCGAACTGTCTTAAGTATGGTCCTACCATCTATCTGGGTTATCTTTTCCCTAACTGCAGTCTTTAACGCGTCAAGGTTATCGTACCTTCGCTTGTAAATTTGGTTCTTTAAGTAACCCCACAAGAAGTAATCAAGTGGGTTTAGATCTGGTGATCTGGGAGGCCACTGTATTGGGCCATTTGTTCCTATCCACTGATCATTAAAAGTAGTACTTAGAAAATGATAAGTACCTCTGGAGTTGTGGGCAGGTGCGCCATCTTGCTGAAAATGCAGATGATGTCTACTTATAAGATCCAATTCGTCTAAGAAATTAGTCAGAATTTCTGACATAAATTCCACATATCTTTCACCAGTTAGGGTTTCCTTATAAAAGAACGGGCCAACAATTTTTGAACCAATTATACCGCACCAAACGTTGAAACTGAAACGGACTTGTGGGCCTCTTGGATGTACTAACAAAAGATTTTCTCTTGACCAATAGTGGTGGTTTTTTCTATTAAACATTCCAGAATTTGAAAAATTTGATTCATCTGTCCATAAAAGGTAACGAAAGTTATTTACATTTTGGCGACAGAAGCTAAGATACCAATGGCAAAAAACAAGTCTTCTCTCTGGATCCCCTGCCAAAAGCGTTTGAACTGGTCGGTACTTATACGGAATAAATTTGTATTTTTTTAAAATCCTTTGAACAGTACCGTAACTGAAATTAGAGTCCTTGAGAGTATCTGCTATTGAATTCTCACGATAAGCTTCAAAATATCCAATAACTGCAATTTCCGTGGCCTCGCTTATTATGAATTCTTTTTTTGCCCTTGTTTTAGCAAAAACATTTTCGTTGCCCCTAAATTTTCGATAAAGTCTCAGAAAATATCGTTCATACGGTTGAATGCGAGCGGGATATAATTCACTGTAGTATTCTCTTGCTCTCAAGGAGGATTTTCTGCACACTAAATAGCATTCTAACATATCACACTTTTCTTCATGGGAGAACATTTTTCTTTAAATTAATGACACAATAAAGCTTATAAACAAGTATTTACACTAATGTTTGACATTATTTGATTTTATCATTGTTTTCCAAAGCCTTCTAGTTGCGAGTATGTCCAGTTTAACAATTTGTCGCTTATCTTAATGCTGTCAAATCGCGAACGCCATGTTGTTTTCATAGCCGTCTTAATATTATAATACTGCAAATAATTAAAAATATTTATCGTTATTTTGAATTTATTTTTGACTCTAGCGGAAAAGTCATTATGAACTTTTTTGTTTAAAATTTGATGCTTTAACAGAAAAAAATATAATATACAGGGGTTTCCATTTAAAAAAATGTTATTTTACTGAAAAAAATCAAAATAACGACTCTCAATTGTTTTTTTTTATTTCTCATTTTTACCAGCGTTAAAAATGCTACTAGTTTGCTAATTCAAACAACTTTGTATTTTCACTAATAACAAAGTTACTAATGGTGGACACTTAATTTGGATAATCCTGTATAGTTTGCTCACTTTTTTGTAAGAACAGACGATATTACAAAAAGGACTGTATCAATATCTTTGAAAAGATGATCGTATCTTGTCCTAACCTAAACAAATCTTTGTAAGAGATTCAGTATTACTGGACGTTCTATTTTCAATGTCACAGTATAGATTATATAATTTATATCTACAATATGTGATCAATTGGTACTGTTGGGACATGTTAAATTAGCAGGCTTCAAACCACCCAAGACACGATAATTGTTTTACAGTACAAATATCTCATGCACTTGTGTGTCTTAGAAGACTAGATACCATTAAGCATGCAGTTCTAATTCTATCGAATTTCCTATAGGAGATACACATCTTGTTGGAGCTTAGAATATGTACATTATGGTTGTGTATCTAATGACAGGTGCGGATTCAGAACTACCAGTAAATAGCTATAGCATTAAAATGTATTTTTTTTGAAAGAAATTAACCTAAAATGCCTGTTTAAGTTTAAACAAATCCTAGATCCGCACCTTGTTAAGGCATTAACGGGTTAAAAGTTAATGTTTTAAAAATATTGTTAACCGAAATTAATATGTTCATTGAGGCTTCATATACCCTTAATCTACAATGATTTTAAACCTTTGTCTGATGTAAGGTTTAGTTTAATTTCATGCAAGTACTACCATCTCAATCTAGTTAGAAGTGTCTGGTGGGCCAATGATAAATTATACTTTTGTATCTCGGCAACCGCTCAACCTAGAGCTATCAGCTAAAAAACTTTATAACAAAAGTGTCGAAGAGAAATTGCTGGAATTTTTTAGTGCTTGCTGAAATAGTCGCAATTTAAAAATTTCAAATGCCACCGTTTTACAAAAATTC